ACAAAAAATATCCCCTCCAACCTGTCCCCTGACAGCCAGCCTTCATTCCGCATGTGACGGGGAGATCTCAACTACGAAGCAATACCTCTGCATTGCCATTCATTGCATTTTTTATCACTGGTCAGTCTTTTAAATGACAATTTTTTATCCCCCAAGTTCTATCAACTTACAACTCACATTTCATTAGTTATACTACAGTTGATAGGACAGGTCACGTCGAATTTCCTGTCAACCACTGTTTCGCAAGCATCAATAGTTCGCGCAAACTACGCTTTACAACAGCTCAGGATTCAGGGAATTCGACGGGAAAATATTTTCATAATTAGCAAAAATATTTTCAAAATTAGCTGAGATGATTTCCCAAGGGCAATACTATATAATTTTATTTTTTGTAATAAATTTTATATTTCTTTTATATTTGTCAGTTTTCTCTGTTGAAATGTATTCGTCTTCAGTCAGGCAATTTGTCTCTGTTATAGCACCACCAGCCACTTAATTACAGACTACATTACTTAACTTGGTACAGGTCATTAAGGTCAATTACAAGTGTATAACAGTTGTAACCTTCAGACGATAACCAATGAGCCTTTAACTATGTCACAACGTAGTTAATTTACAGTATACCTTCTTGGAGAAACTTTGTGGTATAAAGCAGTTGTTATCTTCAGTTCGTTTCTATGTATGTTGGCGTTTGCTTTTGTTGTAGTTCAGTGTTTCTGCTGTTCCGTTGTTTTCCTCTTATAGTTGATGTGTTTCCCTCGGTTTTAGTTTGTTACCCGGATTTGTTTTTGCTTAATCTAATTATGACTATTGAACAGCGGTATACTACTGTTGCCTTTATTTTTCAATTGATCATGGGGAATGGTAGTTAAGAGCTTTAAGACTGAAAAGGTTTTGATATTGAAATGACTCTGATTGAAGATTTTCTAGATGATCTTTCAAATTTTAAATAATCCTCATCTGAATGACACCACTGGTTTAGTGTACCTCATCATAATATTTCTGAAGGCAAACGTATAATGTAGAAAGATTAGTAGTTTGAACTTCAGTAAGATGTTAGTCGAACATCTTAACCCGGCTTTATTATATCAAAATTTATAAGGATTTAAAAAAGTTTTTGCGTAAAGTTTAAAGGTGGGATTTTTTCATCGTTCTTTTTTATGTTTTAAATAAGGAGAGAAGGACTTGATTTTTTGCTCTCAAACATCTCCTCTTTCGGGAATTTGAAAGATTTATATGGGTTTCCTAGATTTGTGTGAATTCAATGTTCTTGTGTAAGTCATCAACGCCTCTTTTTTAAATTTTTTATATAAAACTATATTGTTAGAGGTTTTGTCTGCTGGAAAAACGACATATTTGTTGTGAAGAGAGGATGATGCATCCAAAACATTTAGCTTCTTGTAAGGGTTAAACACAAGTGTTCATGAGACAACGTTGTTTTTGAATGCGATTCTGAATGCATGACTGGACAACCTTGATCTATTCAGGTAAAATGTAGAGCTTTTGGTCACCTGGCACACGCTTAAACCATCCTTGAAGTTGTTCATTATTTAATATGACAATGTCCAAGTTTATAACAATACTAGCGGGATTATATTTGTAGTGTATTGGGATAATAAACAAGAACAATCTTGTGGTTTTGATTTTATATCCTAAATTTTAAAGTTCTCTTATACTCCTTGACAATCTTGGATATAATGACTTTGGTGTAGGCAACATAAATGACTGGTGTATTTTTATCTTTGAAGTAATCAGGTATTTTTTTTCTGTGCAGACTTTTTGTCGAACATATAGCTGAACGTTGATAGTATCAAAATCCTAATTAAAAATTTTACTTTGAAAAAAATACATTTTAATCATCTTTTAAAGTAGTTGTCTTGGGTTTTAATAGCCTGTGACTAGCAATCTCCATAGCTGTTTTACCCAAGTCTGTACTTAGCAGGATTTGTATCAGTAACGGAAGTGTTTTGGACTTTCCAAATAGTGAACTTAGCTGAAATAGTAGTCTTGAAAAAAAGTTAAATACGAATGCGCTAAACTCCCAAATGTTTTTGAACAGAAGGTAATAAGACACGATTTGGCCCGCAGGTGGTATATATTTCATTGACCGTTACTGATATTGCGTCGAACACATGTATTTCATAATTCGTAGTTGTTGTGGCTTTTATTTCCGAAACCTAACAAACACACAGGTTTACCATTCGAAATAGAAAACCTTATACTTAAAGTTATACCAGGCATAAGGTTCAAAAACAATATCACAAACAACGACGGTTTTAAAACAAAACTACAAATATTCAGTTTTCAACCAATTTAAAGTTGATAAGACCTAGACCATATAAATCACTTAAATTTAATGCAAAATCAAGTATCATGAAATACATTACATTAAAATTATTTTAAACCAGCATGGTATGCGACGTATAAAAAAGAAGCAGTATAACAGTAATGTTAAATGTGACCTCATAATGATGTTGTCAAATTTCTGTTTCAACAAAATTCGTTTCTACCGATTGTTTCTATTCATTCTTCCTTAAAATGGTTTCTTGTTGAATAGTTCACTCAGTTAAATGTCTGTTTGCTGACTACTTTTACTTTCTGACATTTATTAAGCCCTCTTGTTTCCACTTGAAACATACCACAGACTTTGAAATGTACTGAGGCCTGATCTTTAGCATTGTCATTTCCGTCAACTATCACAAGACATGTAAAAAAATATTACCACACATTACACTTGCGTAGCAAACACAAATGTATATTCATAGAAGGTTCTGTTTATGGCAAACATATTTTTTTTTACCACAAATATTGACCGTAACAAGTACAGACAATGTCTTGTGGGAAGTCTAGAGACATTTATAATAACACGACGGGTGTCACATGTGGAGCAGGATCTGCTTACCCTTCCGGAGCACCTGAGATCACTCCCAGTTTTTGGTGGGGTTCGTGTTGCTTAGTCTTTGGTTTTCTATGTTGTGTCATCTGTACTATTATTTGTCTGTTTGTCTTTTTATTTTTGGCCATGGCGTTGTCAGTTTGTTTTCGATTTTTCGATCTATGAGTTTGACTGTCCCTCTGGTATCTATCGTCCCTCTTTTAATCCTGAAAAAAAAAAAACAGTTTCGGCTATCCTGATCAATTTCAAACTGTAGTAGAGATCTAAGAAGTTGTTTAGCCAGATATACAAACATAAATTTACAAAGAGAAGCTTGGACAGAGAGAGAGAGTTTAATATGTAATTTATTCAGGTCATTGTGTACGATTTTACATTTACGTTTTTGGTCGTACAACAAAAGTACTAGTTTTCTTGCAACTGGAAGGTATTCATGAACATCACAGTTTGCCAGGCTTAAGATTTTTTTAAAAACCGTCTTTTTAACAAATGCCAAACATTGACGATGTACGCTGTATCGATGCAGTACTAAATAAATTGAAATAAAGACGACTTCAGTAGGAAGAAATAATTCATGAGAAGTTGGGTATTCTTCGTTGGAAATCTCTTTCAATGTTTTTTTTTAAAGTATACTTGCAGCGGAATGCAATACCTGTTTCTGGCGTATGACTATCATTGTTAACATAGTTGCTTGCATCCCAGATATTTTCATATTAACTTTTTATTGACTAGCAGATTGAAAAATTGTATTAGCAACCCAAACAGACTTAATTGACTAACGTGACAATAATTGGGATCCAGTAGCTGAAATTGTGTAAACTATATCATAAATATGCATCACAGCCATCTTAAAAATATCCAAACAAACGTACAATTAAATCTAACAAAGTTGCCATCATAAACGTTATGTAGTTGATAGTACAGTTAAGTAAAACATAATGACATATACACACTTGCTCGATTACAAAGTACAAACTAAGTATGATATAAAGGATTAAAAGGGCATAAGCTACGATATATTAAAAAAAATTAAATACAATTTTTCTTGTTCAATCATTAATGACAGTGATATAGTGAAATAATAATTCGCTTTAATCAGCCGATTTGGTGCAATTTTGTCAAAATTAGCTAAGAAACATCGCTGAAGAATTATTCACTTGCAAGTGAATAATTCGACCTCATTGAATCCGTATTCATGTGACCTTCAATTTAATCCCTTACCTGGAGATTGGTTACGCATGTATTCAGCTATTAAAAGGAAAAGAATGTCAACATTGAAAGTGAAACAAGGATGAACCATTTGGTGGACTGATTCGATCCACAAAAAAAATCATTCTTATACAGGTAAAAACGACGATAAACATATTTTTTATCCTACAATATGAAATCAAACAGACCTAGAAAAATCCAATTGCACGTGTTCGCTATCTGTTTATATTTATATTTATGTTTACATCGGGTAATATGACCGTCGGCAGTCTTTGGATGTCATCTCGATGGTTAATTAGATGACGTCTAGACAAAATTACACACGAAATGTTGATACTTATTATCGTGTCCATGCATTGTTAATTGTTTAGTTTAGACTTTTTGTAATTTGGCAATACATTTAAGTATATAAATTAAATATGAGAATTTGAGTCAAATTGGTGAACAAGAATTTGACAGCTAATGCCCCTTTAAAACAGGAATATCTGTAAACATGAAATAAAAGTAAATAAAAAAAATTTGAAATATATTTCATATTTTGATTTCTGTTTATCAATTAAGTTGGACATCATCATAAAACAATTGAGATATTTTGTAAAGAATATGTTCGTGACAAACTGATTTATATTTTATTTTAAAACAAATGAATTGTTTTTATGAATTATGGAGCTTTTTATGTTCAGGAAAATATTTCAGAATATTTTTTAAACGTGTTTCCAATTTTTAGAAATATTTTTATGTAATGGCACATAATTATTTTTGTCGCCCGGTCGTCTTATCATGAAAAAGACCGTTCCTTGCAGTATGTTTTATTTTTTTTATTTTTTAAATATGATAATTTCTAGGTTCTCAAGTCTTACCTTTTTTTTTTAATTGTTAAATCTGTTACATGATGAAATATATGTTTATATTTTCATTATCTTCTCTATCTCTTTGTCTATTACAATACATGCTAAGTATAAACCAACTTACAAACGCTAGTTTGTAACAGATTCTTAATATCAATTGACTGCAATATTGTTTGCGTAAAGAACATCCGTTTCCGGTATTGTATGGTTATGCTGTTCAGGAACAAGATAACCCTGGTATTCCATCGCGTCGGCTCTTGTGTCCATTTAAATGTCATGGCATTCAGCACAACGGTGTGACGTACTAACAACCAATTCGTTATACCCGAGATTATTTAGCTCTTCGTTATTTTCTTCGATTCCAGTATAAGTCGAAAACTCTGTACCAGGTAACCTTTCATTTACTTTTTGAGCTTATCTTTGTAAATGCTTATTCTGTAATTAGATATTGAATAAGGTATGACGTTGATTTCGTTGACAGTTTCAAAAGATTGAAAACCAAACGTTTGAAATTGAAAAATTCAAAGAAAAAATAACAATTTTCCTTGGCTAACAAGACAATATAAATAGTGTTTATCACTGACATTGATTTATAAATCCATAATCGAGAATGGTCATCGTGCCTGACAAGATCTAAAACTGGTATTTTTGTTATTTATGAGATAAGAATTAGATTGATCAGTCGCTGGTTTATATAGTTTCTATACTATAAATTATGTAGATTAGTTCGGTTGACGAAGAAATTAGAAAATAAGTCTAATTCGGTAGGTCACATTTGGGAAAAGTAGGACGGAAATTGGGGTTACGACGATTGGAACATATCCGTCGCTATCTGTGAAACAGATATTCCGTAACGGTTAACCGGATGGCGTCCGTAAAATTTTCGAATGGATGACTTTAACTTCACCACTTGGAACTCTTCGTTTAGTAGCTTCCTTGTGAGCAGCAATTCTCTATCAAAGACATCTTGATAGGAAACACCAGCCCTGGAATATTGTATCAACTGGGAGATATATACTCCATATGTAGTCGCTGCTGGAATGTTGCTACATGGAAATGGAAAGTTAACAATTAAGAAGCTTTTGTCGCAAACGTTTTGGTCTCAACCGACCCTCGTTGACAATTTCTAGATGTAAGTCAAGATATGAGGCAGACTTTACTGGTTGAGAGAGGCGAACTATACCAAAGGGAAATTCCAAATAATAAGTCGAAAACAAACTGACAACGCCATGGCAAAAAAAAGAAAAAGACCAAAATCAAAACAACAGTACACAAAACACAACATAGAAAACCAAAGACTGACCAACACAAACCCCACCAAAAACCGGGGGGATCTCAGGTACTCCGGAGTGGTAAGCAGATCCTGCTCGACATATGACTTCCATCGTGTATCTTATAAGATAAGGTATTTCAAGTAATTAGACATCACGCAATAGCGGATTGGTAATTGACTCTTATCAACAATATATATATAAAAATCATACATGTTCACACTATACGGACTTCATAAACAGGGGTGTACTCCTAGCAGAAACAATGGTCCAACAGAGATATGGGAGGAATGACTTAAATCGATACTACATTAGTTTGTATATATAACTACCTATACACAGAAAAAAAAGCTAAATTATTATACTTTCTGTTAGAATATTCTTGGACAATGTAAATTCTATATTTCGGCATAAAGTTAAAACAAGCTATTTTGGAAAAGCCTTAAGTTATCTGAAAGTCAGTAAAGACATGTTTATAGTCAATAGTAAGTCCACGTGAGTAGGCGGATTATAACGCAATTGTCCACACAGAAAATAAAAACGGGCGGAAGATACCAAAAGAACATTCAAAACCCAAAAGCCCAAGAAAACAGACAGAAAACATGATAAACGACGGAGAGATAAACATTCTACAAAACATTAGATAGAAAACTATGGACTGAGGAACCCGAACCCCACTAAAAAAAAACAAGGGATGACTTCAAGTCGTTCACTATGTATCAGCCATGACTACTACTTTCGCATAGTTACTGTTATGTTTATAAGTAATGATCTCGTGGTTGATCAATAGTCTCATATTTTGTAATATCACAATCTCGTTGATCAGAATTCGAATACTTGTTTTAGGATCTTTTGGGCATAATCGAACAGAAATAAAGGTTACAGTACAGTTGTTATCATTATAAATAGGTTTTCTACAGTGTGGTTTGGTATAAGGTTTTATAGGTCGCAAACCCTTGACGTAAAAATCTAATCATCTAAAACCACTCATTTGGCCAATAGAAACCAACATTTGTCTAACTAGGGATGCATAATTCCTAAATTGCAAAACGACGACTGTTATCTTCGTTGATCAAAACATGTCAAAGTCATGATTTATGGCTATTCTTATATTATGGCATATATAAAGCTTATTTCACTGCACAAATTTGTAATTACGGGTTGAATGTAACCAATAGGTTTCTTCCTAGATGGCACAGGTTGACCTTATAACACATCTTTCCCTTTTTCATGAACTATTATGTCCTCCGTATACAGTCCTCATTGCAAATATTCAGCTGATATTTGGTATGAAGTTATAATATGAGTTGTAACATATATGTTTTCTACATTATTATCAGCCATCCTTGCATATAATGCTGATAACTGTTGATAAGATTCATAACTTGAAGAGGAAACGACATCAGTATGATAAAATATGATAAACAACGGAAAAAACCAAAAGTCTACAAAACACTCCAAAAACAACTATCGACTGAGAAACGTGAACATAATAAGAACTGGGTGTGGTCTTATTAGCACCGGAAAGAAAGCAGATCTTCCTCCGAATGCGGCACCCGTCGTGTTGCTAATTGAAAGTACAAATTCTATGATAAGTCTTATTGGGTGATGTCACAATCGAGGACGGCATTGTAGCCACGACAGGAAGATGTAAATTCATATGCAGACGCTGTTGGAATGTTGAAAATTTCACAACTGGAAGGCTGAAATCGTCTTTTTATGTTTTTAAGTTTTGTTCTCAGACACATCTTCATTTTCAATTTCTACATGTTAGACAAAAAAATGAGGCAGATTAACTGTATCTGTGGTATTATTTATTTCAAGTTCGATGGCGAATTGCTTTCATATCTTTTTGTTTTAATAATATCATTGTGGATGTCCTCCCCCACGTCGACTCTTACTAAACCAGCCTTCTTACTCTGTGTTCTTGTGCACTTTACAGATAAGTATGAATTACAACGATTTATTTCTAGATATTTGCATTTGGCTGTTAATATGTTTGAGTGTATATGATGTTTTATTAAAAACAGAAGAAAACATTCATATATGTTTTGAAATAAGTTAAGAATTTTATGTTTGTTATTGAGAGACCTATCTGATATCTTATACGAAGCTTTTTAATTCCCAATAGGATCAGACAAAACTTGGATATGTGGACAGATTATAATATCAGTTCATATACGGAAATTAATCAATCTATTTACACATTAACATCGACCGAGAAAAATATAGAACCAACAGAATGGTGAATAAACGTCGCATAGTTGATTTTGTTCATTTTTATGACCATTTTAATAAATGAAAGCATACACTGTTCAATAATTTTAGTTATTATTGTCCTAATATATGTTTAACCGCAATGCTTTTACCAAATCATCAATTTCTAGGCATGGACAATCTTCATTTATGATAACAGTTCGTAATTCAAAATACTCAGTCAGATTCAATTCTCTAGGCCGTACAGAGGCAATTTATCAGGCTTGATTTTTTTATTCATATCTTGAAAAGAAGAAGGTAGGCTAAGGTCACTATATTGGCTCTTTGAATGAGAAAACTATTAAGTTTTATAAATCTTTCAAAAACACACTTGAGATGTTCAAAAAGGTGTCTTCCTGGTTTGCTAACTTTTTATTGCAAGTCTATAAAAACATAAAGTGTTTTGTTGTTTTGATAACTATACTTTATTTCTGAATTATAGTCATATTTTTTCCTGTATAAGACATGTAAAATTTTATAAATAATACTGAATTCTAATATCAAATAAGGAATATGTATAACAAAATATTTGAAATTTTGTTAAAAAAAGTATACAGTAATAATCATTATTTTGACAAAATATCAACAAACTTTTTGAATTGTTGGTTAAATTCTGGTAAAATAAAATCAGTGCCATCTACAATTTCTGTTATTTATTCACTTTGTTTATTGTTTATTTTCTTCAGTAGCCAAGCTTTTTTATTGACATAATTTAAACAGTATTCTGCGTTCAAGCTAGCATTTTCTTGCGTCAAGCTGGAAGACATTGCCGAAGCTGATAATGTACTTCACACAACCGGTACCGATAACGAGACAGAGTTTTGTTTTGAAGGATAGCTTTTTTTTTGCAACAAGTACTCCGCACCACAAACCACATGGAAGACAAGCACACCGAGATTAAGAAAAGAGTTCAACATGTCCACCCCAACATTTATGAGATTATCGAACTGCCCAAGAAGAACCAAGTATTAACATAATATAGAATTATTAAGTGTGCAGCAAGAGGAGCTCGTCTTCCAAAAAGACGCCGATACAGAATGATAGACACCAGACTTGCACTACTGAAACAGAGATACCAACAAGGACTCATCAAAGAGATAGATTACTAAATATAACATATTGTATTTTTGGATATCAAAATTATACATATAGGGCTTAATATTACTTGTTTTCACATAGTGCTTTGTTTATTTCTTCTTTGCAATAAATGTATAAATTTTCATAGATTTTATGTTTAAGTTTGTAATGAAAGAAAACCTTTATAATACATTGGTGATTTTGTATCATTTTCATTGAAAAACTTTAATGATGAATTATAAAGACACTTTGATAAATCAATGGCATGGTTTTTTTATTAGTTGTGTGTTGAGTGAATCCATTTAATTGTCAAAATCATTGAAAATAAAATTCATTTATTTGTGTATTTATTTGCCGAAAAAAATGAAACTACACAATGAAAAATACTGGAATACATAGCAGTCACAGATAAACTATACCTATAAAAGTGGATAAGACTACACAAATTGTAAGTTCATTTAACCTTTTCTTTTTTTAGTTATTGAACTAGTGAGTTCCAGTTGATAAATGGTGAAAATAAAAGTTGGCAAACCAGGAGTAAACCGTTCAAAAACCATACGCCTGTCAGATATTATAATTATAACTATTTTTTTAATTGTGTCTTTCATACTTGATATACGTCTTCAAAATATTTGAATTTAATTGCAAATTAACAATGCCATACAACCCTCATTTTGAGATATTGACATTAAAAAATTAACGTGAGCCTTACCCAAAAATATATTTTGATAACATTTGTCTTGAGCAAGGATGTTAAACAGGGTTAAACGTCGTTTTGGACAAGGCCTTGGCTCAATTTTAGTTTTGCCAAAACCTAACCGTAAAATAGGTCATTAATGTCAATTTCAATATTTTTATGACTTCATGTTGGCATCACAACTTAAATTCTATTATTAAGTGTAAACATTATATAGCCCTATTCATTTATCAATATAATTTACCATTTGAAAGAAATGTTTTATATTTGGAAATTCAGGGCCCAGATGATAGTTTTAATCATACGTCCTCTTGCTAAAAACTTTCTATTGCCGGGGAAAATAAATTAAAATACCAATTAGGAAACACAAAAACCATGCAACGGATAGACTTGGTATACGTACCGTCTAAATGATCTAATATTGATTATAGCCATCAGCAATATCAGCGTAATTATAATCAAAACACCTGCTACTATGACTGAAATAAATCAGATATTGACTTCACTATAACAAAATAATATTCCAAGATTACTTTAATGTAATCCCTTCAAAAACAAAGCCAAAGGAAAATGTGAAGATTATAACACTGCTTTCAATGGGATTTCTTTATGCGATAATAACAATTAATTTTCTAAACCCCAGACGGTACTTGCATGTTGTGCAAGAATAACGTGGAAACTTTGAGTCATTTCGTATTGCTATGTGAGGAATAAGAATACATATGAAAACTAATAATTTTGGAACACTTGTAGTATGCTTTTTGCTAAATATAAGCTACATGCTGTCTTTTTTTCAACACACAGTTGAATTTTGAAGCTCTCATATCAAACATTAATACACAATTAGATGGAGGATTGGAACAAGTACTTTATATTTTACTAAAAGATTTTACTGTATTAAATAATTTTATTATACTGGGTGAGAGTCATTATTTACTCCGAATGCTGAAGGTGTGCCTAGATTGGCAAAATATATACAATACGGATATAGTGTAAATGGCGTGTTTTGATGAATGTTTTTTTTTTAAGTGTTCGAACATTTTTAAAACATTAAATGGTAAAGTATCGTATCTTACGTAATGCTATAATTGTTTAATCTATTTGGTTTGTTATAAAAACAAGTAATTGTGATTAATTCGATTCAAACAGGAACAGACTAAAGACATTATTATGCATGTAATATAATATATCTAAACAGAAGAATATAAAAGCAAAGACGTTTTAAGGTAAATAATAAAGGCACTGGCTACGATTACCGGCAAAAAGCAACAATAAGAAATAATTATTTTTGCTGCCGAGACTAATTGCCAACATGTAACCGCGCCGCATTTTTGCGCCTGTCCCAAATCAGGAACCTCTCACCTTTGTTAGTCTTGTGGTTTTTTTCTTAAATTTTGATTCATTTGTATGTTTCGGAGTTAAGTGTAGTGTCCATTTTGCTGAACTATTTACACTATTGTTTAGGGCCCAGCTGAAGCCCGACTCCGGTACGGAATTTTCTCGCTGCGTTGAACACCTATTGGTGGTCTTGGGCTGTTTTCTGCTCTTTGGTTTGGTTGTTGTCTCTTTGACACATTCCCTGTTTCCATTCTCTATTCTACATTAATTATCTTAATCATATGCGACTGAGTTTAATAACTCAAGAATATGAGAAACAAACTATTTGTAGAGTCTATTAAGTTTTCATTGGATTAAAATAGACGTTTAATGCTGTAAGCAGTAAGATAGTATGTTTTGTTGTTTTTTTTTCTGGTCAGTCTTTCATTGACGAAAATTGGTTACATTGAGTGGTGTATTTTGTATTGGGGTGCGGACGTTTTCTCTGTTTTGTTTTGTCTGTTTTGTATTTATCTTTTTTGGTGGGAAATTTCTGTTTAAATATTATATGATAAACATTAATTTGAAAACAATTAAAACAGCACGTTATAAATTTAGTGCGTCCGAAGTGCTTTGCTGGATTTACCTTCATCATGAACGCTCAAAGCCGAATATTTGAAGGCTAAGGATGTATAAGAAACGAAACATTTGAAAAGCTATATGACCAAAAGGAACCTAAAAATATAGCGAAATCCATCCAAGGTCAACTTTGCCTGAGGGAGTTGAAACCTTAGTTTCTTTATAATTTAAAAATTTATAAACGGAGTTTGCATTAATACTTACCAGATAGAGGAAGTGTTATAAAAAATGGAAATCTTCTCTCCGTATCTAAATATATAGTAAAGGTCTCATGTAATATCAAAGATACTATATAACAGACGTTATTAACATTTGTCGTATTTTATCTCGTAAATTGTTTACTAGTAATTAGAAATTATTGCTCCATTTAGCAGAATAGTTAACTTTCATCGCACAAAACAATTATTTCAGGATATATGACATTACAAAATTACATCGTTAAACGTCCAATTTTCTTCATTAGTTTAAGGCTTTAGACTTTGTTCTACATAAATTACATACTATAATTAGGTATTCATGTAATTAAGACCTTTTGATTTTGTTCTGAAAATTCTTTCCCGCTATTTTAGTTTCTGAAACGTCGCTTTTGTTTCGCAACATGTAGAAAAGATATTTGGTATATAATATTGAACGGTTATAACGCTTTTAAAACTCACCCTTTTTAACCGACCAGTTTTCCATATGGAATTTATCTCCCAGTATACTGGTTTTTTTTTCTTGTTTTCGCTACTCCTCGCAAAGCGTAAAAATTATCAAAAAACCATTATTTTCTTCAAAACGTTTGTAACTTCCTCATGATGATCTGTTAAATTTTGACTGAAGCGGTCCGGTTACATGCTATCAAAGTTGTTTCCCTTTTTTTGTTTGACATGAGTGGTAGATGAGGGTAACTCAGAAACCATAAGTCTTAGAGAGCTAGAGGCTTTTTATATGAGATCCTTGGTCAATAAAAAAAAATTGAGGTCAAGGTCAAAAGTCAAGGTCGTATTCTAATTTTTGAATTCTGCTTGTTATCGCGATTCATCAGGAATTGTTAAAGTTATCGACAAAAAAGTTTTGACAAATTGTAAGTTGCGACATGACGCTTCGCCAGTCAATTGGGTTGAAGTGCTTTGGTGACTTTTTATAGTTTTTCTTCTCTTGAATATTCAAAATAAGCTGTTTGGTACGATAACTTCTTGACCATACATATTACGGACTTAAAATTCATTTTGACGTTCTAGATGACCTTTGCCATAACGAAACACTGGAACATGATAAAGCCATAAGGTCTTTAGTATTAGGCTGTACAATACATGACCTTGATAAGGGTAAACCGGATGTGACCTTGAGTAAACCGGAAGTAGCTTTTTGCACTTATTGTATGTTAAAATACATAGAAACCTTATAATTTTAGAATCATAATGAATCGACCTTTCATTTGCACCGGGAGTGATATTTTGTAATCCGGAAATATCCATTATCTCCCCTATTGCAAGCAAAAGCTGTACAAGATTAGTTCTTCAATGTATAATACCTGAATTCATCTGGCAAATAGTATATAGTTTGAAAATTGATACGTTGACGTACATACACTTTTTTTTATATCAAATAATAGGAAAAATGAAATAACAGTATTCAGCGATATCGACTTAATTAAAACATGGTTTGATATTCGCGTTAACAAAATGAATGAGCTATTCTGATTACAGGAACACAGGATTTCTCTTTCTTGTTATTAAGTAAGAATTCCAATTTTAAATGTAAATTTATTTGTATCGGCATGCTTATAAAAATAAGGAGATGTGGTATGATTGCCAATGAGACAACTATCCATCAAAGGACAAATGAAGTGGATGTAAGCAATATCCATTTGAACCATTAATACCTTAAAAAACCTTTCACATCAGCTGAATTAATTTTCATTTCATTCTTAGGATACAAAACGAAGTAAACTTTGTTTTAAAAATTAATCTGAATATATCAATTTGAATGACTCAGAGAATTATTTTCCCCGAAACAGAAAAGTGGTTGCACACCTTAACAGAGAATGAAGATAATGTTTCGTTCCTTTAAACTAGTAGAAACTAGGATATTTTCCGCATCCAAAAAAACCAATGCAAGAAAATGAAATCCTTTTGTTATTGGAAGTAAAAAACATAAATATATCGAACATATTGAATATGTAAATACGTGTTATGTGCGTAATCGTGTTCTACTACATGTGATCTGTACAAGATGTTACGTACACAAATAATTGCAAATGTTAAATTCATACAAAATAATTAAAAAATCAAAACAGAAATTCTAAGGAAAACTACCTTCTCCCCCCAAAAATATAGACCGAATGAAAACAAACTTTAAAAAAAAGAATATGATGTAACTGGTGAAAAGTATGGAGTCGAAACACGATGATTTTGTAAATTTTTTGGATCTATAAGTTTTAGGAAAACCGTGACCGCAATCACGATCTAAAATATTCAATAACTTAAGTGTGGCAAGGTACATATTGAGTCCCATGACATAACAGTTTTCTAGATCAGGTGTTGTGGTCAAAGTTGTCTGTGCTTAAAACTCAGCCTGTTAAAAAGTTTTAAAAAATGGGCAAAGACTGACGTTACATCATAAATAGGAGCAACTGAGTTCACCGACAGTTTTTTGTGGGGTTTGTGTTGCTCAGTCTTCGGTTTCTATGTGGTGTTTTTTGTTGTTGCTGTTTGTCCTTTTGTTGTATTTATTTTTGCCATAGGTGTTGTCTATTCTACATATGATTTTCTAATGCCCCCTTGACATCATTTTTCATTTTTTATGCAAATTTTATTAGGAAGTTGAGATGAAAGCTTTTTGTATTTAGACCATGATTTGAGATAGATATTTAATAATAAAGCAGAATAATTCGAAATCCTAGTTACTGAGAGGGGTTGGCATTTTTTTCAAAATAATGTGGACGTTTGCTGATCTTTTTTAATTTTCAAATTTTTTTTTGCAGGAACCCAAAAAAACATAAACTTTTATCAAAGAAATAGGGGAAAATAGAAAGAACCACATATGTAGAAAAAACCCCGAAACAATATCAATTACAGCAATGCAATAATTTAAAAAATTAAAAATAATGTTCAAATTCCCATAAAAATGGTCAAATCACAATGGCAGACAAATATGGTCAAGAACATTTGATGGCAAACAATCATACAAAGTACAACAGTTTTCTGTAAAACGGATTCAGAGGAATTGCGTCTACAAGCTGTCGTTATTACAATACTACAAAAAAATGTTCGTATCGCACTTACCCTATTACGACAATGCCAGAATAGATCCGTATTGTTCTTAATCCCAGTTAATGGCGAAACTCAGTAAAGTACCGTTTAAATTCCATGTAATTGATGAACTTAATAACACTTTCTGTACTTTAATGAAATGGTTGCTTGAACTAATCAAGAATTTTCTAATACATGTTGTGGGTCTTGACCTCTGTGTCAGAGTTTATACTAGTTTTAGTTTGTGTTATTGTTTAGGAATGATTTATCGACAAACGTAGGAACTTTAAATAGCTTTGCAGATTAAAAAAAAGAAATATACAGTAATACAAAAATATGAATTGAGTAAACTACGCTAAAATATTCAGGAAGAATAAAAATGCCGAAACTGGACGAAAATTTAAGAAAAAATTACATAATTCATTTAAAGGTCAGTCTATATAGTAGAGAAGAGTTTTCAACAGAATTGCAAAGATTATTTTATGAATTACGCAACAATGTCTTAAGAATAATTACAATACTAGCATACCAATAATACGTTTAGTTTTGTGACATAAGGCTTCCAGACTTTCATTGCAAAAATGAGTCTCGAGACGGTAACTTCCATTTGTCTGAATTCTTGCAGCCACACATACTGTGTTCATAAAATCTAAAATAAATGTGAGACAAACAATATCAATATGCTTTTTTCATATAAATAGTCAAACTGTTAAACATATTCCACCCTCCATGTATAAATATGAAAATATCCTTAACGAAAATAAAAGACTTTAAGTATAAAAAGCATATAAAAATAATGGAAATGAACAAATTTTAGGAGTTTAAGAAACTCTTTGGATATTTTAAATAACTAACGTGACTTTTGTGGTCCTTTTGATTCGGTTGACAGTTTTGAGTTTATGGCCGTGTCTGTATTAACGTGATAGATTCCAATGAAAGTAATATATGTATCACTTGTAAATTAACTTGAGTCAGGGATATCTTTGTCACGAATTAACTTAAAACCTTCACAAAATTTGTTTAAAGGTACACAGATTTGGTTTGGAAGTTTGGCTGTACAAATGTACGTCTAGAAAACGTGATATCATATCCAAATTTTTACAGTGATGTTGTTTTTTGAGCCCTTAATAAATAAACTTATTCTAAAAGGTTATAAATTTGACACTGAAATTGTTTTTCTCTAATTCTTCGTCAATTTATCCCTTTCTGCACCCATTGTATAAAAAAAAATTAATCAACGTGTGGTTCGTTTGATCTCAGTTCTTCAATGGTTAAAATCCGATTATGACGTCGAATTTTCTTGCTTTCCTCTGAATTTCCTATTGTGACGGCATGAAAAAAGGCGACCATGCCTGATGACGTCACATAGAAAGAACACATCTTCTTGAAGATCATTCGAAAAGAAGGAATAAATTTGCCTGCGTATTGTTTGAAAATCATTAGAGAAACAGATTCCACCACCAGATCTCGTGTAATACGATATTTATCCACTCTCGAGAGTTAAATTTTAAATATTTAAAACGCTCGGCGAGCCTCGCGTTTTAAATTTGAAAATTTAACTGTCTCGAGTGGATAAATATCGTATCACACTCGATGCAGTGGTAGAATCTATATTTAACAGTGAAAACATTGAATTTTTAATCAATAAATTAAAACATAAGTAAATATTATGGAATATCCGTTTCACAGATGACAGCGGATATGTTCCAATTGTCGTAACTTCAATTCTGTCCCCTTTTCCCCGAATGTGACCTACCGAATTAGACTTATTTGTTTTTACTGTTTATAACGTCTTTATCTTAAATTCATTGGATGTGTACTGATTGATATTTCAGTCTTGATTTCAGTAACTGCAAGTTTTATAACCGAGTTTAATATGTTGTTCTTAATATGTTGTGTTTTTACATCACTGTTTTATGTTAGAAGGCACCCGCAAACATGTTCAACCTATACTATGACCGTCCCAAGCCAAGCGCCAGTTATTCAGTGGTTGTCGTTCGTTTCTATTAATCATATTTGTTTTTCATTTGCTGTTTTCTACATGAATCAGTCCGTTACCCGTTTGAATTGTTTTACATTGTCATGTCAGGCCCTTTTATAGCTTGCTTTGTTGTATGGGTTTTATTCATTGTTGAAGGTCGTACGGTGACCTATAGTCGTTTATTTTTTACGTCATTTGGTCTCTGGTTGAAAGTTGTC